TTACTTTTTTCAAGTAACTTGACCAACACTGGTCACAAGTATGCACCACCGCACTCTGTGCAGTGACGGGTCTGCTTTGTTGAAAATGAAATTCTAATTTTACATTTTATTTTTAAATCTAAATATTCACCTGAAACCTGACAGGGACAAAGTGTAGATTACAGAAATTGAACATAAACTGAGTTTGAGGCTCAGACTTGAACTCGCCCACCTCATTTGGTGTCAGTTGATCTCAGTAAGTCACATGACACATTGAGGCAAGGTCTTTCACCCAAAACTCTTCACCAATTGATCTCTGGCCTGAAGAAGCTTCTCAGGTGAGAGGTGAAAATCAAGGAAGTCCAGTTGGTTTTCTTTTTAAGCTCCTTAGATTATTAAACACAATTCCCAGTTTCATCAGCTTTTAATCACCTGTACGTCACAGTCAGGATTACTACTGTAGTCCCACTACTATGTGTGGTGTTAAACTTACTTTTACTCAGGAGTTAGAGCAGGTCACCTACTGATTGGAAGGTTGGTGGTTCTTCCCTGGCTGCTCCCAGTCTGTATGCCAAATGTCCTTGGGCAACCAAGGTCTCTCTATTGCATCCATCAGAGCATTAATCTGTGTGAATGATAGATAAAAAGTGCTTCTCTGGAAAAAGCACAAAACAAAGTGGTTGGGTGATTGAGGCAATTTGTAAAAAAAGTTTCCCCTGTCTTGCCTTGGTCGTTGACTTAAGCAAAACAACAAAAAGTTAGTGTTCAGTGTCATTGACAGGGCTGCACATAAGTGGTCCGCAGGTGCGCATTTGCAATGCAACTTCTTATCTGGTGCGCGTCTTTTAATTTGACAGCAAATGCGCACCTGCGGACCACTTATGTGCACCCCTGGTCATTGACATTATCGTAAAGTGTAAAACTGTTTTTGTATAAATGCTTTTCTACAAGAAACACAAATCACACTATATCAGTGTTTATAAACACAAGAAAGTGTATAGGCAAAATCTGTTTACTAAACTCATTAACTTTACTGTTATCTGTTGTATTTGTGTGCATCTGTATGTGTGGATGGACATGCGTACATGTGTGTATTTCTAGGGCTGTTACACTAACTACAGACATGCCCAGCCTACTGCTGCCACAGCTGATGCATACAGCGACAGGTAAGATACAGACTTAACTTTTGTCTTCCTTTTTATTCTATTTGGTGTGTTCTGTCAAAATAAGATGGAGTATCAGGACCTCATTAAGAAAAAAGAATAGTGTCCATTTGAGATAAAAGTAAAAATTTTGGATTAAATTTGAAATAGTGTTTTGAAAAAATAGTACTCCAAATGTGGAGTTTACAGTTCTCATTTCAAGCAAAACAGCTGCCACGGCTCTGACACCCTCTACAAAACACCTCAGGTGGATGACGCAAATCCAGCCAACTCTTCCAATTTGTGTATTTTTTCCGTGTAACAAGATGCAGCTTTCTGACCCATTTTTCACCATCCTTATACTTTACCACACTGTGTTGAAGTGCTAAAAGAGCAAAAAATTCCTTGTAACTAAAACCGATTGTGAATTACAATTCCACTAGCTGTCTGTGAAGGTTCTCAGTCATCCAGGTCATCGTAGTCAAAGGAGCTTGCAAAGAGAAGCGTCTGGACTTCTTTAAGTTGCTTGAAGACGTTTCACCTCTGAAACTGGGTGTGGGGCCAGGTTTCACAATGAGCTCACCGAAACTCTGGCTGATTGTGACCCACACCCAGTTTCACACCTTGGCTCAGGCGATTAGAGGATCATGGGGGGGTCCTTTTGTCCCTCTGTGGGGGGAAACTCCCACTAGGTGTCATGGTCCTGGGTCGGTGACCCAGCGCTTTAAGTTTATTATTATCATTTTCTAGTTTATTGTTATGATTATTATTTGAGTTCTCTTCGGTCTGCCTCTGAGTCTGCGTCTGTATCTCTGTCTATGGTGTCACCCCATCTGTTTGTGATCTGTCTGTTCAGTTCAGCGTCTTGTCTGGTTCCCGGTGTCTGAGTTTCCTGTTTTATTGTGAAGGTCTGTGTCTTTTGTGAGTGTACTCAGTTTACGTTTCCCGTGTCTCGTCAGTTGTGATTTCTCCCAGGTGTGTTCCCCTCCTGTCTCTCATCCCTTGATTACTGCCATCTGTGTATTTAAGCCCTGTGTTTCTCTGTGTCAGTGTCGCGTCGTTAACGTCTGCTCACCCTCAGATTTCACTGTGTGTTCCATTACCCGTTATGCCTGCCTGTTAGTTTATTTTCCCCCCAGTGTAGTTAGTCTTTTGTTCAGTCTGCAACCTGCAATAAAGCTGTTTATTTTGAGTTCAACTTTGCCTCAG